GCTATGCCCGCCACTCATCTGAACAAGACATGATTTTCAAAACGCATGTGATAAAACATTTCTGCTCACATGTGCACGCCACATTTAGCAGAACAGCACTGAAAACCAAGACGTCATGTAGACGTCTAAAGGCTGTCCACCCTGGGCCATGCAGTACAGTGCAGAGACCGGAGATAGCATCTCTGTGTGCTTCGGCTTAGTCAGAATTCCTTGCAAACACTTTCAGTCTTTTCAGTGTAATCATGGCTTGATATAACTCCTTCCAAGGAAATGCACAGAAGTTGCATGAGCCCTTCTGCAGGGTACTTTTGGATGTCAGCACGAGGCACCACCACATTGCACAGGCATACCCTACAGCTGTGTCCTGACCCGGAAAGCCTCACTTCCACAGAAGTTGTCTCCTGTCCTCTGGGTGTAGACCGCCCCTTGATCACTTTCCAGCAGGGCCCACCTTTCCATTTGATTAGATACCAGGAGTTCAGCAGACCATCTAAATATGGTCCCTGTGTCTGTGGTCTAAGACAGAATGACTGTGCATTTTATCCTCAGTCACTCTGATCTGAGCACCACTGTTTTGTCCAGCCTAATGGAATACTCTACAACCACACAGGAAGGATTCTAAAGACGTTTTTTTTAAACAAGGCTAATAACCAAGAAATAAGTTCATATAATCACCCACTAATTCAATCCTGAGTTTGGGAACTATCTGCTAACTCTGATTAAAATTCAGCAAGCATTACCCAAGCATACAAACTTCTTGGGTCCTGGGATGCGATAAAGGGGGCTTTCTCAACAAACTGTTAGTTTTTTGGGGGGTAACATAACATAAGCAAAAGAATAAACTGTCATGAGTCCAGCATCTGTAAGTAGATACTCCAATTCAGACCAAGTGTGCCTTTGGGTAACTCCTCAGATGATCTGATAGCACAATCCTATTATGCCAGCAAGAATATTATGCAAAGATGTCTTCCAGAATTTCATAATCTTATGGGTGTGTATTAAATAGCAAGACTGAAAAATGTATTCTGAGGCATCAATTTCTTGCTTTTTGAAGTACACAAAGCAAGAACAGCTTGAAGGAAAAACAATCCAAATGGAAGAGAGGACAACAGCTCATCAGGAAAGGATTGCAAACCTTGGTCAGAGGATTTTTGTTTTAAACTCTTATGTGATCATAAATACACAGCTTTTCTCCCTAGGTAGATCCAAAGCAAGCAAACAAATTTCACAGAAAAGACAAATAAGATCAATCATTGCCAAGACAATTTCCTTCCCAAAAAAATTATTTTAGGGGCTATGTAGTACATCTTCTTATCATCGTTAAATATGGGTCTGAGATATGTTGTCCATCTCAACTTACAAGGAGCACAAAATGCAAGATATGCCAAGACAATTCCACCTGCAGGCATGGGCACAAATAAAAACCAGATGCATCAGACATGGTGTTGTAACTATATGAATATTAGTGGAGTGTTGATCATCTGTTAGTTCCAACTATCAGGTCTTAGAGCTGGGAGCTTGTAAGGAACATTCAGGTTTATAAAGATTCATATCCAAGAACTGTCAGTTTTAACGAGAAAGCAACCAGCTACAACTATAAACTGCATCTTGGGCTTCTTCCTCAAACATTATCTGGATAACCTCTTTAACAGGATTAACCAAAAGAAATACTATGATTCATTTTTTTGGTGGGAAGATAGTAGTAAGCTGTTTATTAATCATACACTTCATTTCCAAAACTTAAGCAATAAAGACTAGAAGAGTCACCTACGAAATCAATCAACTTTTCACTGTTAAAACACCCTCAACATAATCCAGCCTAATGAAACTTATTGCTGTGACAAGACTGATACTCTACACAGCACACACCCTTCAGGGTTAAGAAAGGCCAACAAAAGACCAAAAAAAAAAAAAAAAAAAAAAAAAATCTCTTCTCTTCTGTTAACCTATAAAAGCACATTTCAGCCAGGAACAGGCTGTGACAAAAAATCACCAACATGATCCCTGAGGACGGCTGTTCCCTGCACAGACACACCCTCTTTTCTAAGATTCTTACCTTTGGTTTGTAGCTGCAACTGGTACATCCAATTTAGTGATTCCTGATCCATGATTATCTTTCTGCAACTAGCACATCCTATATCCAATTTAGTGACTACTGCTCCACGATTATCTGTCTAGCTTAAGACAGGTGTTGAGGCTGCAGGGTTTTCCATCAGTTTAATTCATCAAAACATCCATTTACATAACAAGAGATGTAACAGTAAAGCCTTTAGAATGATTATTCAGTCTCTAATCCCAAACACCATCACTCCAAACCTTTAAATAAATAATAAATAAATCGCTGTCACATCCTACCAGTGCTAGTAGGTGGCTTTATGGCATAAAGGATCTCCACCCGAGGTGAAACCATGGCTCCACACATTCCAACCACACAGTCTAAATACGCAGTTATATTACCAGGGTGGTACCATCACCCCTTAAACCAGCTCTTCTGTAATGCAAGGTTCCTAGCTTGGCAACTGTTATATCTACATGAAATACTTTATTTTCTCTAGTAAGTTTTGGGGTTCAGCGAAGGTATCAGCTTCAGACTTGAAAAGAAGGCTCCACTTTCTGTTTAGGGAAATAACTCCTACATTTTTCAAAACACTAGAGAAACCCATTTCATAAAGGTTTAAGTTTCATAGAAACCAGAGGATTTGTAAAAGAACTTCTATGCCCGAGTTCATCCTGCTGCTTGTCCAAAGTTTTTCATTTCTAGTCTCTCTTCTTTGGTATTGATTCCACTGCATACACCTTCCCTTTGATTTTACATAATGAATTAATTTTAGATTAGAATCACTGTAACTCATTTAAAGATTCCTCCAGAATGAAGAATGCCATTAACAGAGGGTACTCCCCACACAGGGAAGGGGAATCTCTTTAAGAGACTCCAAAATGCCATGGAGTTATGTGCTTCTGGGGACACAAATCTTAGCAAACTGCTTTAAGGGAATGTTGCAAAACAAGAGTCTCCAATACCTGAGAGGGCTCTTTCCAAAATAAAGCATGCTTCTGTACATTTGTATTATAAAGTCTGAAAACCTGATCCCTAAACAGATGCAGCTTATCAACTGTACATGTACATCATCATCTTACTGATGACTAAAATAAGTAGTACTACCTACAAAATAAAGTGCCACCCAGCGCTAGCACAAAAGGGCTTTTTTCCCTCGTGTAACTAAAGCCCCTTCTCAGCAGTAGATGCGTATCAAAGTACTAGTTCCAAAGGAAACATCACGGTACCAATTTAATCCATGGACAGGAGGAATTTACGCTACATTACTTCAAAAAGAGCATGTTAACTTATCATTATCTCCATACATATTTAAAATATTCATGTACAACTCTGAATAAATTAAAATAAAACCCACACCACCCCAAAACCTACGTATGTTTACATAAGCAGTTTTTACTAAGCAAAGGCACAAATTTAGTGGGAGACTCCTACCAACTTCAGTAAAGCTAGGGTTCACCTAAGAAGTTTAATGCCCGCTGTTTATAGCTCCAAGACAATGGAGTTTTTAATCAGATATACATGAGGTTCTTAAATATGGAGGAAAAAATACCTTTCTCGTGAGTGTGCATTTGAGAAAATAAAATAAACCTGAAAGACAACAATTCAGTTGTACAACTTCGGTATAGTTCCTGATTTCAACAGAAGTTGCATAAGAGAGGTAACAGTACCTATGATTACAGGTCCATTAAAAATAAAAACTCCTTGGTCAAGTATCATTTTTCACCTTTTGGAAAGTTCTGAGAAAAGCAAGGAGCATGCAGAAACACATTAACTTCTCAAAGAAAGTTTTGCATCAGAGCTCTGCTTTTAAACTTTATTTTTTAAACAACAACAAAAAAAAATCCTCCACTTAGGAAAGTTGTCACCGTCTTACATTTCAGAATACAAAACTGAAAAAAATCCCTATTAAAAAAAAAGACAGGACTTCAGCCAAGTATTCAGCTACTTATTGCTGTAGTTGTAACTCAAGTCCATTTAAACCCCTATGTTTTGGTCGTTTGTACCGAGAACATGTTTGGAACACTAGCAGCAATAGAAAACCCCTTTAAAACCTGGACACAGTTACACTGTTGAGTAAAAATTAGCACAAACTATAACCACTGGAACATAATAAAGGATCCTGTAAAAGTACAATTCAATTGGTAGCTAGAAAAAAAGGGTTGATTTAAAGTGCTATCCCAAAGCCTTATGTGGGCCTATGTCAGTAAAGAAGAGTCCTTCCCCCACATTAGATAAAGCCCAGAACCACTGCGCTACTCCAAGCATAACAAATGCAGTCTTCACTCTGTCTCAATGCCTCATCTCCCCTGCCCTCCTCCAACAGGTGGGACACAGAAAATTGAAAAAACCAGCCAATTCCAAATTTAGGTGATATGCACAAATATACTGTTGAACAAAGTTTGGACAGCAAACAGTACACCTGAGTTCAGTCATACAAACTAACTTTTGTAAATAGCATTAGATGAATATACCCACATCTCTAATATGAATCTAGATGTATTTTCTTACAAAACGCATTAATAGAAATATCCAGGCAAATACATACCATACAATAGCAAAAGCTTTAAGCCCCATTTAATAAGATGACTTTCTGATTAAAAATAGAAGGCAATTAGGATTTACTCAAAATTACAATTAAGAAAAAGCTTTCACAGTGCAATATTGAAACTGTCACAAAGTTAAGAAAATACTGATATCAAAGTACAATCACAATGTTAAAGTAGACAAACTACTATACAAGGGCACATCTTGTAAAATTAAAAGGAATGAACACAACACAGGGGACATCTCACGTCCCTGCTCCACATATCTTGTTTCCTAGTCTTCAGAGTCATAATTGTGTCTTTCTGACATCGGTAGAAGTCTTGTTAAAACTAAGAGGTTCATTCTTCTTGTAGACCAGATTTCAGAGCCCAGTTACTTCTTGAAAATACGTTCTTCATCACTGCACAATTTCGAAGTAGTGCAATATTGCCATGATGTGCTGAGGCATGAACACATAGCCCGTGTACAATGCCATTCCAACAATGGAAACTAGCATGGAATCTGAATTACAGTTGAGGAAAAAAGCATTTGAAATAGAAAGTGCATCAGACATCACATAATTGTAACACTAAAACTTCCCTGGTAACCATCTTATGACATTACATTTTTAAATAAGACAGGGTCAACTGCATTCAACAGTTACAGCTCCAGGAAGAATGGACGGAACACTGAAAATCAGAACACTGGCAGAAGCAATTAGGTGAAATATGGAAGGATGCCTTGCAAGTTTTCCACTGCCTTGTCATGGACACAAGAGAACAGGCCAAAGTGTGGGAAGGGTGATGGAGGAGCAGAAAATGGGCACTAAGAATATATAAGTTTTTACATGCATCTTCCCAGGTGTTGAGCAAGTCTTGCAGAAGCCAGCCCCATTCAGACAAGCAGAAAAGAGTCAACCATCACAAAAAAAAAAAAAATCCCACCTAAAGAAAAAATCAAAACAAAACCACAATAATATGAGTAGCTGTACTCAAAAAGAATGGATGAACTACACATTTTAAAGCAAACAGCATTAGATACTGACCTCAACTTCTTGGAATAGTATGACCCAATAGATTTAATTTACGATGCACTAAATTCATCTGGTGTGAAAGTTGTACTGTTCACATTGCAAAGTCAGGAAATCTCAAATCTATTTCTAGCTGCCACTGTACTCTGTGCTTTAAGTTATTAAATTATTTGGTTCATTTCTCTATCTGCACAAAACACTCAGACCCTTCCTCATGGGCAAGCACCTCAATTTATGTGTTCTTTGGCAGTACTTCGGAAATAGAAACTGCAGAGGGAATGAAAAGTAGGAGTAATATTGTGACATGCACCTTTCTAACGATGTCATTCACAAAGCCCCAGAGCATCAGGTTGGCTTGCAGTCAATTTGTATATTTAAACAGATATTCATTAGTACTTTACTGCAGCAGATGACACTGCAGCACAAAGTTCACCTGAAGCTATCTGCTAAACAATCTTAAGACCACCACTTTATTAGCTGAACTCCTAACAGGGACCCATTGTAAAATTTACATAGAGAAGTGAGATGACAGCTTACAACATATATGTACAACCGGACCTTTCTTGAGCTCTAGGGTTCTCCAAGCTTACCTCCAGAAATTATGACATCAGCTTACTGAAAGACTACACCAAAGTTTAACTTTTCAGAAATTCAAAAGTATTCTAAATTAATAACAACCTCTTGATTTCTTTGAAGTATACCTGCAAAGATTCAGTAAACTTAGACAGAAACACTATAAAAGCACTGGAGATTAACAAGCATGATAACACTAGACAGCAGTGCTCTGTTTCCACAGGTGAAACCAGAGGAGCTGGATATGCTCTGTGTCTTCAAGAAATCAAAAGTCACCACAGCACTCGTATAACAAATGCGTTATGACCGACTTCCCGGTGGCAGAGCAGACGTATTAGTTGTGCTTCTTGGTGTACTTTTAGTCCCAGAAGATTATACAGTACAAGATACTAAAATGAAGGTCAACTTATAAATCCACGTTTCTGTATCAGTGCTCACTGCCAATTCGGGAGAACAAGCAGCAGTGAGACACGCAGCAGTCTCCACCATTAGCTCCCAAGGCCACTGCATCCGCGCCGTATCTGTACAGCACCTGACAGACCTGGCCCACTATGGTGAAAACGTCCAGTTTGAGGACAAAAAACAGTTTTGCTGACCCAAGATCGCAAGTGATACTTGTGCCCCTTATGACACTTGTAAGTTAAGCAGCAATTATTTCACTGCAATATGAGCATTTTATAAAAGTAAACATGCGCACACACTTTCATTTACTTAAATATTTTGTACAAGATGAAAAGCTGCATGGTTGACACTAAAGAAAAAATACTCATGATTAATATAATTGCAGAGAAAGCAAAGATGAAGTTTCCTCAGTGATACAGACATGGCATGAAAAGAGGAAGGTATGTTAGCAAGGAAAGCAACACTTCGAAGGTAAGAACCCCTACCTAAACAATTGTGCACAGTAAGTCTATAAATACTACAAAATAGAAACAGTAACTTATCTCCACTTCTACTGATTTTATACAAGAAAAAAAAAAGTCTGACCACACAGCTGTAACTTGGGCAACAACATTTATATAACAAATGTGAGTTCTTTCACAAAACTGACCAGTATCTTAGTAAAAGCAGCTTCTCACTACTTACAACCTCTTCTTTGTTAATGTTTTTGTCATTTCTCTCTTTGCCTCTCGACATTAATTGGAGATGGCTCAGGGTCATTCATATGAGACATCACTTTAAGTCGAGATCAAAACAGCCACACTTCAGAAAAAAATACATGTAATGCCATAACACCCGACAGAACATGCTGCCTGTATGAAAGGGCTGGGTAAAGAAGCAAACCTATAAATAGTCTTTATACAGATGCCTTCACACAAGCATCTATGAAGTTCTTCCATGCCAAAAGAGCCAAGCAAACTTACCAGCTCCAGGATTAAATACTCCTCTAATGAAAACCATGTGACAAAACACCGCACAAACACAAGCCTGCAAGGCTTTGCAGTGCGCACATTTACTTTCCACTAGGCAAAATCACAAAATAATTCATGAAAGACACCTTGCGCTCAACAGAAAGCATGAGATTTCAGTGCAAAAGACAGGTGAAAGAACAACCATAACTCTACCGACGAAAAATTAAAGGAGCAATAACTTCCAGATATGAACTCCTGCCCGAGGAGAAACTGGCTCGATGGCTAGGCACCCAGTGACGGGACGCGGAGCGCCAGCACGAGGATTACTCCCCAACTTGGGCAGCACGTTAGTTTGCGACGGTGCGGAGGGAGCTTCAGCCCCTGCCTGCAAGGAGGGG